TCTGGGCTTCTTGCTATTTTTATTTTTTATTTTGACCTATGTCTTTGCTACATTTTGCGAGACTTTTGCTACTCTTGGTTCATAGCAAGCTTTGTGGTAGTTGTACCTAGATTTTTTTACTGTAATGTTTTACCTAGTCATTTGTTACTTTTAGCTTTTAACTAGGTTTTTGTTACTTTTAACTAGCCATATGCTACTTTTAGCATATAGCTAGCTTTTTGCTACATTTAGATAGCCTTCTGCTATTTTAGCTAGTCATGTGCTACTGTGAGCTATCAGTTAACATTTTGCCACTTACTGTATTTTTTGCCCTATAAGTCGCGTATTTTATTTTATTTGATTTTTTTGCGTAATTTGCATGCTCTGCGACTTATATTCCGAAGCGACGTATTTATAATTTTTTTTCCATATTTCTAAACCAATTTTTGGTTGAGATTTGACCGTTTTCATTAATTCTGACTGAAATTATTAACACTACCATTTTCAGCCACTAGATGGCACCAGAGCAGTATGACATGCCATTTTGTCATGTAATAGGGAAGTGTGGCTAATAATGACACAATCGGCTTGCCATAGCCTCCTACCTTTGTTCTGCTCGCGTGTAGCAACCTTCAAATCGGCTTCATTTCACTGCGCCGCCCCATCAAAATGCAGCTAATTTGACCATTAAAGTGCATTTATTAAGTAAAAGTTCAACTGAGACGCACCTTTGCTATAAAGTCGAGCTAACAAATAAGTGTTTTAGGTGCTTATCTTGTTAAATTTCTAAGAAATGCACAGCGACTCATCCCTCTGCGTGTGCCTGCTTCCGCGAATCAGGTTTTGAAATGCAGCTGATTTGACCATCAAAGTGCATTTATTAAGCAAAAGTTAGACTGAGACACACCTTTACTATAATTTCGAGCAAACAAATAATTGTTTTTAAGTGTTAATCTTGTTAAATTCGTGTTAAAGTTCTCCTGTGTACGCTCCCGCAGTCGCCATTTGGCAGCCAGTCGACACCGGCCCACATTTCTAGGTTAGGTCCACATTTCCAGGTTGTCAGCAGTGACGTATAACAAACGTGACGCGTCAGTGTTGATGCGTAATAGATGCGACGTATACGGCGAAGCGACATATTCATGGATTTTTCCACTTTATTAGACATATTTGGACTGATGCGACGAATAGGGCAGAGCGACATTTACGGTGGAAAACAGTATTTTCCAACTATTTTAGTTACTTTTAACTAGCCTTATGCTACTCTAATATTTTGTTAGTTGTACCTAGATTTGTGATACTTTTAGCTTGTTGATAACCTTTTGCTATGTTTAGGTTTTAGCCTGCGTTTTACATTTTTAGATGTGAGTTAGAGGTTTGCTCCATCTTTGTTTTGCTTGACTGAAGAGAATCAGAGTCGCCCTGTAAGAACTTCCATCTTCTTCAGAACAAAGCTGTGCAGTTTATGGTCCTGCTCAGTTCCACCATCAAAAATGTGAACATCTGCTGCTGCACAGCTGCCTTCTCCTCTGATCCAAGTAAACATCCATTTTGCATATGTCGGACTGTGAGTTGTAGAGCAAAGATAAATCTCTTCTAAAATAAAAAAAAATACATAAAATTAAGAAAACATTCCATTACAGCCAAAAGCTACTTTACTTCTGGTTTCATCCATGGGGTGGTTAAGCACGACATTAGTTCACTAAGTTACACTGTACGTATTGTACTGATCAGGCTTTATCTGTACACTCCAAACAGCAAAACAAACAGTACAAATAACATCTTAATGAATGTCTAATTTCTTGTTTTGGACACTATAAATAAATGGTCACCAAATATATAAATAATCTCTTAATTCTTATAAACTTCTAGGTAATGTATAAAGTTATTATGTAAAAACCCATTATCTTTATTTGTGTCCAATATTCTAAAAATCCCAGGTTTGTTCAGCTTCATACCCCCCACCTTAAACTAAATTTATGCAGATTTGTTTAATAAAGTCTCACTAGGAAGTGAATTGTCTCGCTGTCAACACGGGGGTGATAAGGACGTAAATTTTCTCTTGGTTGTTTAGCTCAGTTTTGATAATTGATCGTAGCACAGAGGAGTGAATGACTTCAGCTTGAATTTGACGATTGATGCTTTTGCAGATCATCTGTGCACCCAAATATAGTTTAATAAATGTGTGTGTGCGAGCGCGCGAGAGTGAGTTTATGGAAACTGGCTTTAACATAGCACAGTTTGGTTATCTCTCATCAGAACATTTGAGTAACATTTGTGAAACTTAAAAAAAATTAAGTGTTATGAAATCACGTTTTATTTTTTGAACCTATTCCCCTCTTTAGCTCCTGACAGTTGCTGCCTGACTGATTTAGAAAACACTTGAGCAATCGCAACTCGTTTCCTGGCCTGATTGTTACCCACCGACCACCTGCTGTGTTTTGTTTACCCGTCTGTTCCTTTAACCTTTGACCCCAAACAGCTGAGGCTCAGATGGTGGAGCAGGTTGTGCTCTTAATTGCAGGTTCTCTCAGCTCCATATACTAAAGTGTCCTTGGAAAAAAATAATAAAAAAATTAAACGAACCCAAAGTTGCTCGCAAAGTCAAAGTCTAGTTTTGTATTTCTGTACTATTTCACGTCTCAAAAAGCTCTTTTCATTAAAACAGAATATTTGAATGCAACAAGCATCACTGCAGCTGTGATATGACGGAGCAGAAAGAAAGGAAGTATCTGCAGACCGGTCCAGCTGCAGAAACCGAGCATCCTGCTCCGTCACCGCTCTGTTGCTCCGACGGCTGTTGAGGCGTTGCCAGCTCCATAATGACTGCCCCTCTGGTGCTGCTTGTGTCAGCAGTTTGAAAACGGCCCTCATTCTGCATCCACGTACCCAACGCCAGCAAATGAAAAATATATTGGAAAGGTTCCATTACACGGCCACAGTTGCTGAACCGCGGGGGGTTGTTGCTCTTGCAGCAGTTTATCAGCGGCATTAAAGGAAACCGCTCGGAGAGAACGGGCGTCGATGTCGAGCTTGGGCCGTTTACGCCTCTGCTGAAGGGAAGTGTCGACTCCAGTGGCTGTGAAGTCGTTAAGGGAACCGCTGAAAGGTGATGAGGCAAGGTGCAATCGTTTTGTGAGGACGTGTTTTACACTTCTCTGCTGAGATCAAGACAAAAAAAAAAAAACTTAAGTGTTGGTACCACTCAGAGTGAGGACCTTCCTATTTAATACAAACACATTTGAAGCAACATTAACGCATAAAAACCACTTCTGCGAAGCGATTTGTCTTTTTTGCTGCTGTATGCAGCTGATAACAGTCGGCAGATGTTTAAAAAGCCATTTTGTTTGAAACTGGTCTGAGAATGGGGCCAGAACGGTAAAATTGAGTAATTTAAGGTGAACCCGAAAGAGCTTCTCACCGTGAGCCATCGTCTCATAGTGAGAAGGTCGCAGGTTCTGTCGTGGAAAAACGGGAGATTCCCAGAACAGACCGAGGTGTAGTCGATCGGATTTATTTACAAAGCTTTGGAGAGCAGTCCAACAATTCACAGAACATGCAGTTACAAGATTACACCGTTAGTGCGCTCATCCATGTGAAACCCTGACCTGCTCAAACTTCCTGAACCGGACAAGTTTTATAGAATAACCTCCAGCCCAGGCTTCAGCTCCAGCTCCATGTCTGACCCGTCATCCAAGGGTCCGCTTGCAGACAGGAAGAAGTGGCTCTGAGTCAAGGACTCTGCTTGACACACGTCATATTATATCACCTCTATCATATCAGTATCACATCAATCAGCCCTTGAGGATATCAAAACCACCAGTTCTTTCTGTTCCTCACTGAGCAGAAGGACATTGCAGAACGTTCCCACAGGAGATTTATTGATCACGATGAGTGCAAATAATACACATTACACTGACGGTTCAAACCCAGCTGAGGCCTCTCGGTGTGGAGTTTGCATGTTCTCCCTGTGCACGCATTTTCTATGAGTTTTCTGCAGACCACAAACGTGCATGCGAGGTTAAACGGTAACTCTCACTGGGTATAATCAGAGTTTCAATGGTTTGATCTATATGCGGCTCTGTGATGGACCGGTGTACCCGCCTCTCGTCCAATAGCAGCTGGAGATGGTCACCAGCGTCCCACAAACCTGCACGGCAAACTGGGTGAAGGAACTGGATGGATAGTGGTATTAGCTTTAGATCAACCCGAGCAGAATGGGTCTTTTTGTAAGAGAAGACTTAAATCAGGAACTTAAACAGACCGGATTTCTTCCTGTTTTACACTTTTTGTGTCTTTAAAACATTTTGATCTGTTCTAGTAGGGCAATGAATTTGTAAATGCACAATAAAGGATGAAGAATGGGCACCGACATTTGATCAAATTAAACCACCAAGCTTAAACTGAAAACAGAGCTGCATAATATTAGATAAACATGCCGTACTTTAATATAATTGACGGTTACTTGGACTAAACTGATATTTTTCACACTCTAATTTCCTCCTCATCATATTGCTCAAAATCCTCTGTGTGCTTTAGCATTTCTGCCACTTTGGCTTTGGGTGTTTAGGACCGTGCTGTTGATATTACAGTAACAGTATAAAAAATTTATTGAATTCATAATTTCTGTGTGAATTTAAAAAAAAGGTCTGGCCCATCAATAAAGATGGATAATGCGACTCTTATTAACTTCCACTGTCCAAAATTGAAAGTGAAATGTCCTTTTGGGAGGTGCCAAGTTGTATTTTTGAAATCAAGAATCTAGAAAATGTGAATATTGTATCTTTTGGTATGAAAGTCTACTTCCACTAAGATTAAAATAAAATTAACTCCTGAAAAAAACAATAGTTTGAGGTGTATTGTTTACATGGAGGAGCAGGACTGCAGTCAGCCACTAGGGGGCGCTTGTCCTTAGTAGCTTTAATTTCTGGCTTCCAATCTTGTTTCGAGTTATAACACATCTGGATAAACATTGAGATGTGTACAAATCTAAACTGAACGCTCTCTTTTGTTGTTTTAAGGATGAAAGAGTGAAACCGGTAGCTCCCCCTGGTGGTGTGGAGGAATGAAGGCTTCTGGATGAAGGCCATGGAGCTGAAAGTGTGGGTGGACGGAGTGCAGCGCATCGTGTGCGGCGTCACAGAATTCACCACTTGCCAGGAAGTGGTCATTGCTTTGGCACAAGCCATCGGTAAGTTTGAAACTTCTTCCTGCTTATTACTGCACGAGTGATCATGTAAAGTAAAAATTTGATGGTGAAACGGAGCCTGGGATGAACCCCTTCAAGGATATTTTACCATGTGAACTGTGTCCAATATGATGGAGGCAAATTGTCAAACTGATCTGAGGTGATGCATTACAAAAAGTGGCAGGAGTGTACAAAGATTCTCACCATAAACAGCCCCTTACTGAAATGAGATGAGTCATACTGCAGTCTTTTGGCTTATTGACAAGTGCTGTGTAGTTGCAGTGAAAACAAGTTCACACGCTGCATCTATTGGGGCTTGTTTGCTTAACAGAACGTTTTCTGTTTTTTAAGAACAGAGTTGCATCTTGAGTCTTCAGAGACGCGTTTGAGTAGAAACACGTTTGTCACGGTGACAGCATAGCAATAAATGCATTCACCGTCCTTTGTATTGGCCTTTTTTTTTTGTCCAGGCTGCTTTGATGTAAATGGCTGAAGTGATGAATGCACCTCTTTTTACAAGGACCCTTACTGTGCAGGAGGGGGGCGAGGGTGCAACAGTTCTGCTCTTATCTGTGTGCATACAGACTAGAATGCAGGAGTACACAAAGCTGTGAATCATTCAAGCTTTGGCGAACACAACTGCTGCTTGTTGAGCTGAGTTTTCCCACCATAAAACGTCTTTGAACCCAACTTGATGGTGACGTTCTTTGAATCGGGGCTACACAAGTGCAAGTGCTCGTTATTGCTCATATAAATGCCGACTACTTTGACTCATATTTCACTAGAGTGCTGTTTTATATAAGATGCCAGTGCACAGAAGTTTGGTGGTTTGGTCCTTGTTGTATAAATTCTGTTGTTTTCTTGTCCTTCAGTGATAGGCCTTTAAAAACCTTATATGTCCTTCCTTAAAACGTGACTCTGAAGGTTTTTTCTTCAATGCAGGACGGACGGGCCGGTACACTTTGATTGAGAAGTGGCGGGACACGGAGCGCCTCCTGGCGCCGCATGAAAGCCCCGTGGTGTCCCTCAACAAGTGGGGTCAGTATGCCAGCGACGTGCAGCTCATCCTCCAAAGAAACGGCCCGTCCATCAGCGAGCGGCCGACCTCCGAGGGGCTGACTCGTGTCCCAGAGCGGGGACTCTACCACCAGAGCCTCCCACCTCTCGCCAAACTTCATCCATCAGGGACGGACCGCTCGTTCAAACGACGGGAGCCCAAACGCAAGTCTCTGACCTTCACTGGGGGCGCCAGGGGTCTGCGGGAGATATTTGGAAGAAGCAGAGATGCTGAAGGTATTACAGGCAACTTTTGTGATTTTCTTATGGAGGATGTTTTTTTTATTTTTTTTATTTCAAACAACTTGGTGTTCTTTTTTGTTCTCTCTCAGCCAAACGGACGCAGCAGCGCGGTGTGAACCTGAACTTGAGCAGAGTCGGAGGTGGTGGAACTGCGTCTCTGCCTGGGAGTCCAGCCAGAGAGCTGAACCGGCTGGTGCAGCTGCAGAGAGACAAGCTCCAGGTGCTGGAGAGTCGCCTGCTGGGCTGCGAGGCTGAGCTGCAGGACTGGGAGGATGTCACTGCACAGAGCAGCGATGTGAGAGCCCTTACTCAAACCTCTTCAAATCAACTCAACATCATCTTTAAAGCGACTATCATGTTTGCTTTACTTATTAGGAAGGAAACCTGGAAGACGAGATGCTGCTTTTGGAGCAGCAGGTGAGGAGGAACGATGCTGAGATGAAGGAGGAGGAGTTCTGGCAGAATGAGCTGCAGATTGAGCAGGACAGCGAGCGGCTGCTGCGGCAACAGCTAGCAGAGCTGCAGGGCCGCGTGCATGACTGCGAAGCCAAACTTTCAGAGTACTTGGCACATGTTCAGGTGAGCGTAACAGAAAAGCTGCAGCATTCCACCATTTTACTTGTTTTTGTTACTTTGTCCTCAGTAAAGTACAACTGCAATATGTGTTGGGATGTTAGATCCTACCTCTCTGACAGAACCTATTGTGTCAACATCAAGGACTTGATTTCAACATTGGCAGCTCTTTGGTGGGAGGTACCACAGGGAACTATCCTCGGTCCTCTTCTCTTTTCTTTATACCTGCTGCCACTAAGTGCTATTTTTTGTAAACATGGCATACCTTTTCATTTTTCATGCCCATGACTGTCAAATTTACTTTCCTCTGAAGCACACTGGTGCACACTCTATCCAACATCTACTTGACTGCCTCGTTCACGTCAGGGATTGGAATGCTTTAAATTTCTTAAACTTTAATGAGACGAAGACAGAAGTCACGTTGTTCCCTCCTAATGTCACAATCAGGAACTACTGTATTGACCTTTCCTCTCTAGCCCCATTAGAGAAACAAGTGGTCACTAATCTGCGAGCGACAATGGACCCTTCCATGAAAGTAAACAGTCATGTAAACACGATTGTTAAATCCTGTTTTTTTTTTTCTTCAGTTGAGACTGTCTAATTTGAAGCCCATACTGTCCAAAAGTAATCTTGAGACAATAATACATGCTTTTTAGCGTGATAGTTTTACCAACACTTGTGGATGGAACAGTGAACTGAGTTTACAGACAGTGATTCGTGCACGTTTTCCTGAGCCCATTTAGTGATGTCCAGAAGTGAATTTTGTTAATAAGCATTCACACTATTGTGATCCTGTTTATATTTATTATTCCGGTTACTATACTTCTGTACGTTTTTCAGCATCGCTCTTGTTCCACAGTTTTTGTGCTATTTCAACAAATCCTATATCAAAATGTTCAGCTACAACCATTTACTGCTCCTTTCACATTTTGCTTACTTTCAGCTGTTCTTTCAGCTGTTCTTTCAGCTGTTTTGTACTCCTTTTTGCTTTATTCTGCTAACTACAACATTATTTTGCCTCTTCTAACTTATTTCTGCTAATTTCTGTTTGCTATGCTCCTTTCTGTTAATCTCTGCTAGTTTCAGTTATTTCTGTTATTTCAGCTACCGTTTAGCTGTCTTTATGCTAATTTAGGCTTTTTAAGCCAATTCCACTTTTTTTTGCACATATTTCAACTTTTTCCAGCCTAATTCAGCAAAAACGTGCTCTCTCCACTTCTAATAAATTTAAGCTTCTGCATTTTTTTAGCTAGTGTTCAGCTGTGTTTTTTTTGTTGTTGTATCTTCCACTTTTTTGTGCTAATTTCTACTTTTATGAATGCATAATTGCCCACAATTGTGCTCTCTTCACTTCCTTCTGCTAATTTAAGCTTCTTTCTGCTATTTTAGCTACTGTTTGACAGTTTTTTTTGTTGTTGTTGCTTTTTTCAAATATTTGCAACTTTTTTGTGCTCGTTTTTTGCTTTAAGCCTAATTGGGCACAAATATGCTCTCTCCACTTGCTTCTGGTAATTTGAGCTTCTTCCTGGGGTTTTTTTTTCAGCTGTTTTTAGTGCAAATTTCTGTTTTTCCCCATAATAATTTAAACTTTTTTGTGCTCATTTCAGATTATTTAAACCAATTTCAGCAAATATGTATTTTTTCCGCTTTCTTCTGCTAATTTAGGCTTGTTCTTCCATTTCAGCTAATTTCAGCTGTTTTCCAGCAACAAATGCACTTTCTCTAGTTTTAGTAGTTTTTCACAGACTGGTGAACCTCTGCCCATCTTTACGTCTGAGAGATTCAGCCTTTCTAAATCTCCTTTTTTAAACTCAGTCAAATCACTGACTTTTACATTTTGTTGTTCTTGTCCCAACTTTGAGATGTTGTTGCCATCAAATTCAAAATGACTTTTTTTAATTAATGTTTTTTAAATGGTACAATTTCTCTGTCAAAATATTCAAGTTGTTTATTATATTATTATATTATTGGTGATATAAGAGTTTGTGCAGCTCAAAAATCATTGCATTCTGTAAGTTATCAAATGTTTCAACTTTTTTTGTACTGAGCTTGTAAAACAGCTTATTTGTTTGTAGCTTTGGGGTGATTTTTGCTGTTTTCTTTAAGAGTATGGAAACGGGCCTGGAGCGGGAGCGACTGCAGCAGGAGGCTGAGCTCCACCTGAAGGTGCAGGAGGAGGAGGTACAAATCAGTTTCTCTTGGTTTATAAACTCATACCAGCCTGCAAGCAGAGTGGGTTGTTTCCATTAACAATCTGAGAAGTAAAAAGTTTATCTCAAGCTCATGATTCCTTAAAAAACACTTTAAGGCACAACTTGCATTTTAAAATCTCTCGCTGTTGTTAAACTAACAATTATTCTCTTTTTCTCGCTTTACTTTAAAGTTTGTAAGTAATTTTTGTATTTCAGGTTCAAGCCCAGTTGCAGAAGGTGAGAGAAGAGCTGGAGGTGCAGAGCCAACAAGCGGCATGCCTGGAAAGCAGCTGCAAGGCGTTGGAGCGCTCATTTTGCCAGTCGGGCAAGAGACTTGAGGTCAGACCTGTTTCTCCTCTTTTTAAGGTTTATATATACTTGTATATACTTATAGTAAATAAAAAAACGATAAGTATGCAACCCCATCTTAAAGCTAATCTGGTTATGACTTGGAGGTTCTAGGCAAAGCGTCATTCCACTTTCCACCTTTACTTAAAATATAAACTCACTTTGAGGTAATGAAATGAAGAAAAAGGAACCAGTAGCATCAGTTGTGCTCCACAAAGGGACTTTCCATGAAAGTTTCTGCACCTTCTGTGAGTCACGCTCCTTACATCGGCGGAGGCGCAGGCCTCACTGCCTTGTCTTGTATTTTCCACCGCAGGAGAAGGAGCAGGAGCTGGACCAGCTGACCAAAGAGCTCCGACAGGTCAACCTGCAGCAGTTCATACAGAAGACTGGTACCAAAGTGACGGTGCTGCCTGCTCAACCCGTGGAGGAGAACAACAGCAGTGGTATCTACAGAACCAGGCTGAAAGTGCACGCAGATATCCTAAACATAATGTAAACATGTCCATTTTAAAAGCCCTCACCTGCTTTTGGCTCATGCTGCCTTGTTGCATGTGCGTGGACGTGTTGCCATCTTGTGGTCATCCTCAGAATGAGCCATTAAACAACTGATGAAGCAAAACTGTCCGTGACTACAGTAACGTCTTAAAAAATACAGTTATCCCACGTGATATCTTGAGATGTTAGTCAGATTGTGACTGATCTTATTCTCAAACAGGTGATTATAATAAAACGTTTTTTTTTCTGCAGGCGTGGAGTTGAAACGACTCGGTTCCTCCCGACTTCTCCCCAGCGCCCTCCGTGCCCTACAGAGCCGCGTCTCGTCCAGCCTAAACCCCGAAGGCATCTACGTCTGACTCCGTAAAGTCCAGACAGACGCACAGCTGAGCAAACTGATGAGACGGAAACCTAAAAAAATCCAAACAAAGATCTGCAGTTGAAACAGTTTTTTAGGCTGTGTCAAACCTCCAGTGCACAAAACAAGGCTCGGTTTTGCATCTTGCCTCCATCTCACTGGAAAATCAAACTGATGTCAATATTGATTTGCATTTTTAACATTTTGACTCGGCTTGACCTCTGATGGGTGAATGCTCCAAAATGAAGCATCTGTATGAGTTCAAAAACTAACAAGCAAAACAAACCAGCAGATCTGATCTTTGAGGCGACCGCTGCAGACAGATTGTATTTACGTTGCTGTAAATCACAAGAAAAATTCAGGAGTTTTGACTAATGTACAGAATACTAGCTGCATGAGCATGCACAGACCTTACTTGTGTTTTAATCATAGCCATATTTGATTGCCTTACTCTGGTGTTTTTGCACCAGACGCCAATTAAAAAGAAAGGAAGTTTAAGCAAAATGAAAACACTACGCGCCATATGAATTTGATTCAGGAAACCACTGGGTGTCAGTGTAGCTTCTGGCCAGGTCGAGGTTTTTGTTTTATTTTATACAAGTTTAGACGTTTGTGTGGATTGAAATGGGAGGTAAATTAACCTATTTTTTGTATTTTTTTTTTTTTAAGGAAATCCTCTCTTTGTTGTGTGTTCGGTAAAGAAAAAAGAGATTTAAAATCATAAAATGTAGCTGAAATGTGAAATTCAGCGTTAAGATGCAGTGTCAATACATGACCACCAGGTGGCGACAAAACACGTGTTATTCAGGCGTCATACTGTGGTCATGTATGAATGGGTATTCATTTGTAACAAAGCCTCAGCACTTTATTAAGGTGCTACTTTTTCATTTATTTTTTAACATTTTAACAAACTAAAAATGTCTCATATGAACCAAAGCTAGTGTAAGAAAATATAAATATTAAATAGAAGAATGTATTTTATATATAGATATATATATGTATATGCTCTAACTTCACTTTGTAAATGTGTTTTCTGGGTTTGTTGAAAGGGGATGGGGGGTTATTAGAAGTCATTCAAGAATATATCTGCAACTGCTCTGATATTCCTCCACAAAACCCTTCTTCAAAAGATCTGAATTAGTCCTTTAAAGTCATTGTTGCTATTTCAGTGGCTCTAATGATCTGTTTTGAACAATAGGACATTCATAATCCAGTATCTGGCCCAACACAGAGAGGGGGGGGGGGGGGAATGCTGATGACTCATCCTGCAAATTTAGCGTCCAGTGCAACGCTTCCCAACATTTAATTTCAGCAGAGATGAAATGAAAATGTAAGTCAGAAATTTGTAAGTACGCCAACGTCCTGCTTGTTGGTTGTCAGGAGCTTTAAAGTTGTGTTTGTGCACCGACAGTGCGTCAGTTTCCTGCTGCGGATCAGTATTCGCACGAGGCCGCTCTTGTTTTGTTTGTTTGTTTTTGTTTCAGAGCAGCTTTAATTTGCGCAGCCATACATCTTCTCCGTTTGTCCGCGAGCTCGAAAAATCCCCTGCGGTTTCTTTCCGGGTGTTCCAAACAACCGTAGGCTTTTCTGCAATTACTTCATCTGACAAGCTGGGAAATCCTACTTGAGCCCAGGCGAAGACGTTGATGTACAACAGCGAGGTGAAGCTTAGCTTTCCTTCACAGCGCAACGGTAGTTGGAGAATTTCACATCGATAACGGAAAGTTTCAACAATAGCATGCCTTACAGAGAAGAAAAACAAATGTCTACGTGTCACGTCGATGTAAGGACTATTTTTACAGTAGATTCAAGTCTGATGTGTGCAGAGTGTCGGCTAGTAAGCTGTACGTGCATGCTAACGTACGCTTGGGTTGTTTGAACTCCCAATTAATGGCAACCAAGGAAATTTAGTTGCTTTGCCCCGTTGAGTTTTAATGATGAGTGGGTTTAGCATTAAAAAAACAGCAAAACCTCCTCATTATTTCCATGCCTTTTCTTTCTTTGACAATAAGAACGCTTCTGAATGTAAAGCAGACCTATATTACATTGAAAAAAGAAAAAGAACACTGTGGCTGGTTGTATCTTTGTTTTTCCTCTGATTCGCGCTAAGACGCTAATCGGCTTCTCTTGAGCCGTCAGTGGCGTTTTTCAGAAGTGCATTCACAAATTAGATGATGGAGCCATTATGAGAACGGCCATCAAGAGGTTTTAAAAAGCTCATTGAGAGACGTCGTGGCTCAGGGACATTTCAAGACGCAGAATTACTCAGACAAGAATGGACAGGAAGTAATTATGGATAAACGCTTTTTCACAATGCCTCGAACCGTTTGGCGAATTAAATCGGACGTTTGTCGTGAAGGACCACTGGAGCAAAGACACGATGCAAGTAACGTAGCTGGGAGGGACGTAAATAAAATAAGTGTGTTTCAGATGTTTCCTGAAGCATGTTTACATCAACACTCCTCTGTAAACATCCTAATTGGATCAATGACCTTTAATGTGTAATAATCTCATTTAAAATCGGGAAAAAAACTAATATATTTTGTATTGTCTGCCTACAAAGTCGCCTACTGTATTTTTTTATTCTGTCAGAATTTATCAAATTGTTCTCTTTGGGTTTAAGTTACTGATTAAATTCAGGAATAATGTACATGTATAAATAAGTGATAAAAAAAATAAAAAAAGAAAACATGGTAAATGTCAATAAACTGCTACTCAGTACTGAACTGTGTGCTTCAGCACTTTTTTCCTGTGGAGTTCCACAGGGCTCAATTCTTGGACCCCTTCTGTTCTCTGTATCTGCTGCCTTTGTGGTCTATCCTGAGGAAACATGGTCTTTCTTTTCACTGTTATGCTGATGATGGTCAGGTTGATCTGCTCTTTAAACCCAGTAGTTCATGCACAATCCACCCTCTGTTAAAATGTCTTGATGACATTAAGGCATGGATGGCTTCAAATTTTTCAAGTTTAACAATCAGAAAACTGAAGTTGTGTTTAGCCCTTGCTCTACTGCTGTTTCTCTCTTGAGCCATATCTTCAGCAGTCTCTTATAAATCTTGGGACGGTTTTAGACTCCGACGTTAAGTTTAATAAACAGATTAACTCTGTTCTCAGAGGAGATTGGACTTTTTCAGCCGTGGGCCCTAAACTTTGGAACAATCTGCCCCCCAACATTAGACAGGCCACTTCACTTCCTGTTTTTACATCTGTCCTAAAAACACATCCGTGTTCACTGGCTTTTAACACTGTGTGATTTGAGTCGGCATTTTATTGATTTGTTGTTGTTTTTGTTTTTTTTTTCAGTTTTTTTTATGCTTTTAATTAATTTTTGGTATGTTTTTATTACTGCCATTGATTTTTATTGTTAAGCACTTTGGTAACAGCTGCTGTTTTTAAATGTGCTTTATAAATAAAGTTGACTAATTTATGTTGCCGCCTATAGAAGAATGTTAGTTCTGACATGTTGGCCTAACTCTGGTCTGGTTTAAACGTAACTGAGTGGTTTTGGTTTGTTAACAATGGTAAAACCAAACAATATCTTCATGTGAACATTGTGAGAAAGTCTTAATTTACCTCATTTCCTGTTTACTTCTTGACATAATTTAGGTTTAATTCTTCGCCTTAGCCTAACTCTGGTCTAGTTTAAAAGCCTAAACATAACCAAGCAAGGTGTTAAACTAAAAGGGAAGCCTAAAAATTAAAATAAAACGAGCAGGTCCAACAAATGATCATTTTTGTGAAATGTGTTCCATGAAACCTCTAGCTATAAATAAGACGACTGCACTCCTCAAATCAACATGTCCTCTTAATTTTTTTAATCTTAAATCTTTTCACGTCTCTTTCTTTGAGTAATGTGACGCCCGTTGCCAGCAGATTTCATCAGCAGTGTGTGAATGAGTTCCTGCTTGTCCTCCATCTGCCGCTCACACCATGTTGTCGTTTACAACATGTACCGCAGCAGCTTTCAAAGCTGGGGTCGAGGCCCAGCGGTGAGGTCACCAAGCACCAAGTGCAGAAAATTAAATTTAAAAAATGATGGCAGCGGATTTTCACCAACTGTTTGAAAATAAAATAAAAACAGAAGCTACAGATGGATTAAAGTTGCACTTTGGATGCAGTTTGCTGCCATTACCTCGCTGTTTTATTGGATTTTAAGCGTTTAAAGGGATAGTTCAGATCTTCTGAAGTTGAAGTTTGTAAAAAAAGTCACAAACGATATCTTACCTGTTGTAGATTTGAACAAACTCGGTAATCCCTTCTGTTATTTTATGATTTCAAAGCAGATAACTACTGTGAACATAAGGACAGGCAAACGCGTAAATGACAACTTAATTCTGAAGCGGTTCACACTTTCTGCCTCGACATTTGTCACTCAGATCAGAGGAAGGAATTTAAATAGTTAAAATCCAGGTGACACTCGTTCGTCCAGGGGTTTACAGGACCCTCACCAGGGTCTGCATTCACAATAACTCTCAACATTGTTCAGTTGTACCACATAAAATCAGTTCGAGGTCAGTTAGCACAGCCAGAATTAATACACAAGGTTTACTGGATTACACAGTGACAGGGTTTTACCTGTACCTTAAATAAAACACAAGGGAGACAAGAATGAGATTTCTAGAACGTATCTTTGCAAAGAGGGACAGCGTTCGACCGAAGTCAGAACAAAGTCCAACTTGTTTCAGCGTGCGTTCCTTTTTTATTCAGGCAAGTAGGAATGGCAAACATTCAGGCAAGTAGGGTTGGTAAACAAGAAACACAAGATCTGGTGGTTTTCAGGTAACATAGACGTGGCAGTTTCTATCAAAACAGGAACTGTGAGTTTCCAACAAGTCAGTAGAGAAAGATTTCACAGCATTATAGAACAGTTTAAATGAGTATAAGTTTAAACGATCAATAGATAGAGTAAAATACTCTAACACACAGGTGTTGGTATAAATTAGAATATCATGAAAAAGTTTATTTCAGTAATTCCATTCAAAAAGTGAAACTTGTATATTATATTCATTCATTACACACAGACTGATATATTTCAAATGTTTATTTATTTTACTGTTGATGATTATAACTGACAAGGTGTCAGCAATGCGGCGTGGCA